TCCAAATCATTCTGCATTAGCAGAAATCAGATCAGTGGTTGTTTTAGAGTTAGGGGGAAGAGTGACTAGATTATGAAGGTGTATGAGTAAAATTTTGGTTTTGATATGCTTCTTATCTTGATTGCAGTGATAACTTCAGGATTGTATACATATACCTATAAAACATATCAAACTACATACTTTAAATATGTGCAGTTTGTTAAATGTTAATTATGACTCAATAAGCCTGACCAAAATGTGTATTTATTTATTCAGATGCCTATATAGACATTTATTACATAATGTAATAACTATTTGGCCATAGACTATAATTATAATTGGGACCATGCAATGTGAAGTTATACTGAATAAATATATGAAAGTAGTAGTAATGCAACAAGTTCATTTTTAATTAATTAATGCCTCAACTTATTTTTTATTTAGTAAAGTTAACTTCAGTTTGTAGGAAGTGACCACATATTTTGTCGTTGAGTGATCGAAAATTAGCTCAGTTCACAGACATTTTTTTACATAGATCTTATCACCAGAGGCACCTAGAGATCAAGAAACACCACAACTTTAGTAAGAAGGATACCAATTGCAGGGTTTCCAGCAAGACCTCATCTCTACAATAAATCAAAAAAATCAGCTGGGCGTGGTAGCACATGCCTGTAATTCCGGCTACTTGGAAGACTGAGGTGGAAGGATCGCCAGAGCCCAGCAGGTCGAGGCTGCGGTGACTGGGAGCGGGCCACTGCACTCTAGTCTGGGCGACAGAGTGAGACTCCAACTCAAAAAAACAAAGCAAAACAAAACACATACACCAACACCTTCAAAGCAGAGCATGATGTGGGCACCTCTTCCTGCCCACCTGCCTCTGCCCTCTCTGGCTGGAAGGAGTCATGAGCTGTCCTCATAATGGGCACTGTAGAGCTGGCCTCTCATGCGCATGGCACTGTTACTGAGGAGCCCAGTGCTCTTGCACTCATGGGTGGTGACTGTGTGTCTCAGCAAAAATTTCCAGATATTCCAAACTGCTGCAGCCAGAACTGCCTCATCCATTGAGCCCCGCACTTTGTCTATGTAATAGAATTGACACACTGCTGATCTAGTCATCCCTTGGTATCTGGAAGGGATTGGTTCTAGGATCCCTGTGTATCCCAAAACCCACCCATATGCACATCCCACCATCAGCCCTGTGAAACCCACATATAGGAAACCCACATACTTGGGTGTTCACATCCTGTGAGTCAGCGTTTGGTTTGAGAAAAAAAATTGAGAATGAAGGGACCCATGCAGTTTAAACTCATGTCCAGTTGTTCAAGTGTCAACTATGTATTCTTGATATTTAATATTCAAAGTTGCAACAGATAAATACTGACGAGTTCTTCTGTCTCTCATCTACTTGGTTCTACCTCTATATCTCCCATTTTCTCAATTCTTTGGGGGATTTTTTTAAACCCATAAAAAAGAAAATGCATAGACATATATATAGTCATTTTCCCATTTGCCTTCTACCCTTTTCGTTTTTTTTTCTGTAACATAAGCAAGAGTGTTCTATACACTGTGTCCTTCAACTGTTTTTCCCTACTTCACAGTTATCTTGGAGGTGTTTCCTTATTGAAATGAGTTTTTTTGTTGTTGTTTTCACTAATCTACTATATGGCATTACTTAAGCAGCCCTCCGTTTAGGTTCATTTTCATTCTTGGTATGACAGTGTTGCATTTGATCACATCCTATATGTGTTGTTTTGTGTCTCGCTATGTCTAGAGGGTACATCCTGGACGAAGAACCGTTAGGCAAATTGCCATATTTCCCTGTGTAGTGATTTTGAGCTTTTTGTCTCCTACAGGCAAGAATGAAATGTCCTATTCCCCACAGCTGCCTCAAAATGGTGTTAGTAAATATTTGTACTTTTTTTTTTGAGATAGGATCTCACTCTGTCACCCAGGCAGGAGTACAGTGGTGCCATCACAGCCTATTGTAGCCTCAAAGTCCTGGGCTTACATGATTCTCTCACCTCAGCCTCCTAACTAGCTAGCACTACAGGTGTATGCCATTATGCCCAGCTAATTTTTAAAATTTTTTTTGTAGAGATGAGGTCTCACTATGTTGCCCAGGCTTGTCTCAAATTCCTGGTCTTCAAGCATTCCTCTTGCCCTAGTCTCCCAAAGTGTTGGGATTACAGATGTGTTAGAAGAAAAATGGCCTCTCTGTCTAGTTTTTAATTGAATGACTTGGACATCTTTTTTTATATATTTGGAAGCTATTGAATTTCCTTTTCTGTGAGTTATTTATGTTCTTGGCTCTTTTTCTGTTAGATCCTTGATCTCTATTTCTAGGCACCCTCTACATTATGGAAACCAGTAGCCCTTTTTAATGAGAGGTACAGGTATTTTTCCTAGATTTGTCACTTTTGGTTTTTTATATAGTCAGATATATGTCTTTTCTTTCACAGTCTACCATAGTTAGAACTTTCCCCCTCCAGCATTATAATGAAAATCTCAGTCTTCTGTCCTTGCTTCTCTGGACCTGTGCAGGGGAACTGACTACATAGGCCCCATTGGATGAACCAAGCCAGGTTTTAAAAATGAGCTGTTGGCCGGGCTTGGTGGCTCAACCTGTAATCCCGTGCTTTGGGAGGCCAAGGTGAGTGGATTGCCTGAGCCCGAGAGTTCTAGACCCACCTGGGCAACTTGGCGAGACCTCATTTCTGCAATAAATCAAAAAATAAGCTGGGCATGGCAGCACGTGCCATAGTTCCAGCTATTTGGAAGGCTGAGGCGGAAGGATCGCCCAGCAAGTCAAGGCTGCAGTGGCCGGGAGCATGCCCCTGCACTCCAGTCTGGGCGACAGAGTGACTCCAACTCAAAACAAAAAAGAGCTGTTGACCTCTTAAGCCAGCATTGTGATGCCTTCACAGTTCTGGGAGGTCAAGGTAGAGACAGGAGACCTGTCAGGGGCAACTGAAGGGAGGAGAAGCTTACTGGATAGTCTTGAGTCTTTTCGGCAAGTCAGAACCTCATTCTCTAGCAGGCATCTGGGGAGTGTTCGTTTTTTTTCTTGTGTGGCTAAAAGGGTTGAAAGGTTGTATGTGATCAGTGCCACTTGGGAGCATTGGTCAGAGCTGTTCCAGGTCTGTGGTGGGTGATCTTGGGTGGGAAGTCCGTACTCTCCACCCTGGCTCTATCCATCTACACTAAAGGAGCAAGTCCCTGGTAGCCCCAGGAAACCATGTTTTCAACTGTTTTCACCTTGGTGAATTTATTCTGGATGTTCGATCCTTAAAGCCAGTGCTCAGGTGGGTCGGGAAGGCTGGGGGGATGAGATGTCACTGAGAGTTTGAAGTACATGGTAGGCCCTTTCTCCTGGGCCCTCCTATTCTTAGGCTTCTCCTTCAGAAGTTTATGTGCATCTGTGTTCTGCACACTTTCTGGTTTGGAGACTGGTCTCACTCTTAAAGAGCTTTTTCCTCTCTTTCTGGGAGTGGTGTTGCCCAACCACATGTACCTTTCCCACCTTTCTGTCAGTGCTTGAAGGTTGTCATGCTATCCTGTTACCACTATTGAGCTAGAACTTAGGGTTTGTGGAGCTTTCTGCTCGATTCCACTCTTCCTTTCTAGGTAGATCTTGTTGAATGGCGTAGTGGCAGGCTATGACCTTTTAGGTAGGCCCTAGTGAGGAATTGATATCTGAAACAAGGTAAGGTATCACCAAATTTTTGAGCAAAGATCTCTCTCAGCCTCCTGTGGTTTCCAGATCAGAGAAGCTAAGAATCCCTATAGAAGGAAATCCCCAAAAAGACTCAGACTTGTGGTGGTCTGCCTGTGGCCCTGCTCTGAGACTCTGTTTTTTTTTTTGTGAGGTACTTGCCCCAAATCCAAATGGTCTGTATTAATTTATGATCTGAAGTTATCATGGAGTTTCTTGCCTTGCATCAGGTACTAAAGCATGAGTAACTTAAAGGATTTTAAGAGGGGTTTCATCACAGAGCTCAGTTTTAATAGTCTTGATTTCATCAATCAGAGTTACCCTGATGGCTGAATCTAGTTGCTGTGTGAGGGGCCACAGTGACATTGAGCACAAAGCCCCTCACCTCGAGAGTCCCTGGATGATTGCATTGTCACCTGCCCGTTCAACCTTGAGACTGCAGGTCCAAGCACTAGGCCATGCTCTCCCAGCACCCTCCTCCTTTCCCTCCTGCTCCATGTGCCCCGGCTTTTGTTTTGCCAGCATGTCAGTGTGGAGAGCAACCCTCCCCTCCAGTCCTCAGCCACCTTCTCAACGGCAGCAACCTCTGCCTCAAGTTCTGCATCCTCAGGCATCAGCCTGTCAAGTAGCATGAACACAGTGAACAGCCTCTGCCTGGGCGGGTCCACCGTGAGTGCACCCAGCAACAGTACCAGGACCGCGCCTTTGGTGACCTCAGGTATGTGCTCCAGAGGCCCACTCCCAGACCCTCAAATGTGCTTGCTTGGCTTCCCAGGTAAGGTACCCAGAAACAGTGCCAGAGCATGACAGGTACCCACAAGCATCAGAAGATTATGTTCTCATTCTGGCCAGATTTTGCTGTCATGTTTGACTTCTTGGGACCTGTCCTTCCGGCACTGGTGTGGGGTGGGTAGAATCTGAATCTTCCGGATGGACTCCCTTGGCAGGATTCCCAGCATCTAGCTTCCAAATTCATCTGGAACTGAGTTGACATGGTGACCTGGAGGGGTTAGGGATGACGTATCCCAGAGGACCTATTCCTCCTGGCCACTTGTGTGACCGATTTTCAGCCACCTAGGCTGTCTGTGTAAGCCAAGCAGATTGTGGTTTGGTGGTTACTGCTAAAACCTACCTTTGACACAGCCTGTCCCTCTCCTGGCTCTGCTTGGCTTCCTTTCCTGTTCTGAAGAGGCAGATGGTTTTTATTTATTTATTTATTTATTTATTTTGAGTTGAAGTCTCACTGTCACCCTGGCTGGAATGCAGTAACATGCTCACGGTCACTGCAGCCTTGACCTGCTGGGCTTGGCTCAGGTGATTCTTCCACCTCAGCCTTCCAAGTAGCTGGAACCACAGGTGCTTTGATTTATTATAGAGATAAGGTCTCGCCAAGTTGCCCAGACTGGCGATTGTTTCTTATATTCATGTTTGCTCAGTGCAGTGTGATCTTTGGGATTGAGAGAAAGGGGATGATTCTGTCTGAGCACAGAATCCCCTGACACTGAAATAGCCTAAATATGATGCACATGCTTTCTGTATCCCCCTAGCTACTTCATAGCACGACCCTCTGCATCTCTCAGTCACTGCCCTTCCCCCATGCCATGGCCCCTTCTGGAGCAGTTTGGTGACCTGTGTCTCCTCCTAAAGCAGCTGAAGAATCTCAGTCTTTGTAGTGACCACTTCACTCCATATTTTTCCCTTTGCAGGCAAAGCACCCCCAAACTTGCCCCAGGGAGTGCCTCCCCTGCTGCATAACCAGTACCTCGTGGGCCCTGGAGGACTACTTCCTGCCTACCCGGTGAGCACACAGTGGAACTCCTGGCTGGCCCTAGCTCCCCTGGTCTTGGGCAGGCACCTGGCCAGACGTGGCAAGGCGAAGCCTTGGTTTGGGCCGGGGCGTGCCCACCTTGGGCTGCTTTTCAGTTCCTGAGCCCCATTTTTGCTTAGATAAAGGAAGGCTTGTCTTCTTTTATCTAAACTCCATCGAGGCAGGACCTTTTCCCATAGCAGCTGATTCAGGTCTCATTCCTGAGTGTGTCCTAGTCCTCGCACCTTGTTTTGATCCTGAGATGGGCCTGGACTTCCCAGGAGCTAGTCTCTAAAATGCCCTTTCTTGTCCTCACACAGATCTATGGCTATGATGAACTCCAGATGCTACAGTCACGGCTGCCAATGGTGAGTGAGAAGGGCCAGGGTGGGAGCAGCAGGGATTCAGATTCTTGTACCTGTCCATCCTCCCTTGGCCTTGATCGCCACCTGCCTGGCCCTTGGGATCCTAAGGAACCCCCTCAGCACCACCACTAAGAAAGGTGTAGGTCTCGGGTGGTCGTGCCAGGCACGACTATGGCTTTGGCATATAAGTGTCCTATGCTCATCCCCTGGCGACCATGAAGACCTTTGGACCTGGGGTCCCAGTAGGTCATGACCCTACTAAATGTTGGTCCTGATATTTCCTCCTCATCTCCCGAATTTTTTTTTTTTCTAGAGACAGTGTCTCATACCATCTCCTAGGCTGGAGTATAGTGGTGTGATCATAGCTCAGTGTAACCTCAGACTCCTCCAGGGCTCAAGTGATTCTCCCCCTCACCCTCCTGAGATGTTGAAACTACAGGCGCAAACCACTGCACCTGGCTTTTTTTTTTTAAGAACTATCATATGAAATAAGACATGAATTTGCTTACTTGGCCCTGGAGTTTTAAAAAGTTCTTCCTCTTGCTTGAAGTACCGTACAGTATCTTTGGGCTGAGGTGGCCAGTGTGGCTATGCTTGCAATGGCAGCCTTACTGTTCTGTCCTCAGCTGAATGAGTGGCTGGAACTGACAGCCTTTAACACCTCTTCTGGGTCTGGTCTCCCATCTTTATTTGCAAGATTGTCTGCTCTTGGACCTCCTTAGCTGTTACAGCCTCACTCTATAGCCAGAGTTACCTCTTTATCTGCTCCTTGGTACCAGGATAAGGCACTGGACCTTCCCTGGGATGGCCACATTAATAGGACATTAACAGGACTGTAGGGAAAGAGAAGTGGGAAGCAGGCCTGCTCCTTGCCTCACCAGTGGGCAAGATTTCCTTCTGGGTAGCCACTCCTTTCTTGGTCTGATATTTCCCAGGACACCTGTCACGTTGAACACTGGTGTCCACCGCTGCTGAATGTGGTGCTTTCTGTTTCCAGAAGAAGAGGCTTTCTCTCCTGTGAGGTGTCACGTGCTGCCCTTCCTCACACTCTTCCCCATTGGTGTTGGCCCCCATCTCTGCCAGGCCACAAAGAGTTTATGGAGCTGTGCTTGTCTCAGGAGAAAAACTCTTTTCTGTCTGCTGGAAGTATTTCGAAGCAGAGGCTGAGCCTAGGAGCTGAGCAGCTCATCCCTCGTGTGCAGACCAGCCCTCATCAGTCCACTGGCTGAAGGCCAAAGGGCAAAGGCCGGTGGGGCTTTCCAGCAAGAGATCTTCCTGGAGCCCTGGGGTGTGCCAGATGGAGTGTGAGAGTCTTCATGGGGGATGCCAACCCTGGGATTCCGGCATCAGGGGCTTTCTGTGACTTTCCACTTTTATCCACAGGATTCCCTTTGCTTTTATCACTCTGTGCCTTAGAGAAAATCCCCTCTGAAGCCCACCTTTTGAGTTACATTGCTCTTTATCATCCTTTGGGCCATCTGTTAACCTCTGCTACTTTTGTGCCTAGTTCCCAGTTTTAGGCTCCTCATCTTTTGCAAAAGGGCTCCCTCTTCTGGGCTTTCTCTATGCCTGTCCCTGTTGTGTTCCTGAGAGAGATGTGCTTTCCCAACCCTGCCTCCTCCCAGGGTTCTGGGCTGCAGATGCTATGGGTTTCTTGGATACCTGGAGATGTGGCCAAAGGAGGGTGTGAGGACCACTACCATCTGGCTGTGATTGGGCACTGTTGGCCACAGTCTAAGAAGCCTGAAGCTTTCCCTTTGCTCAGAGGCCAGGTATCCATGACTTCATGTGAGGCTCTAGAAGGGCGTGAGGGTCAGCTCAGGCCTCCCCTTCTCCATGAGCTCCATTGTATTTGCCCTCTTGGTCTCCACACTGTGTTGTATCTGCCATATATCCCTCTGGGTCACAGGTGGTCTCAGCATTACCAGGTCAGAATGAGCGATAGTGACAGGCAAGTTCAAGACCACCTGGAGGTGAGGCGTGTACTTGTGCATACCTGGCACTGCTCTCTGTCCCTTTTTACACCTTTTGGGCACCTTCTCTCCTGCTTTTTTTTTCAGGTTTGTTCTGCTTAGTTAACTTTCCTAGCTGCTTTGTAGAGTCTCTGACACAGGAAGAGCCAGTGAAGTTGGTTCAGCCTGTATTCACAAGCATCTGTGGCGTAAAGGGGATGCGTGTGGTTGGGCCTCCCACGGCTCAGCCTGGAGAAGGCTGCAGGACTGGTCCGTCTGTCTGCATGCTAGTCAGTTAAGTCGGCTGTCTAGCTGCCCACCTCTGATGGGCGCCATTTGTGTGGAGTTCTCTGTGACTGCTGGCTTTCTGGTGTCAGCTGGTCTCAGGGGTGTGGCATCACCTAGAGTTTCATGTGCTGGATCTGCTCTTCTGGGAGTGGGGCAAGGCCACTCGCTCATTGAGCCTCCCCGGTCTCTCCTAGGATTACTATGGAGTTCCCTTTGCAGCACCCACAGCCCTTGCCAGCCGAGATGGGAACCTGGCTAATAATCCATATTCAGGTGCGTTGATTCAGTGGGTGAGGAGTGGTGGGCAGGTGTGGGACTGGCCTGCGGCTGATCTTAGGAGTCTGGAAAGCAGCAGCAGAAGGGCTGATGGAGACCCCTTAGCTGCCCATAATGAGCTGGCAGCCATGCCCGTTCCTGCTTGCAAGAGCCAGGCTGACCTTTTCCCCGGCTGGGTGAGTAGCAGTGACCAGAGCCAGGGCTCCTCTTCTCCTAGGTGATGTCACAAAGTTTGGCCGTGGTGACTCTGCATCCCCCGTGCCCCCCACCACATTAGCTCAGCCACAGCAGAGCCAATCCCAGACCCACCACACAGCCCAGCAGCCCTTCCTGAATCCTGCGCTGCCACCTGGCTACAGCTATGCGGGTCTTCCCTACTACACAGGCGTGCCCAGTGCCTTCCAATATGGGCCCACCATGTTTGTGAGTATTTGTGGGATGTCTGATTCTTTCCCTTCACCTTGGGTCACTGAAAGGTTGAAAGCTGACACCTTTATTCCAGCTCCTGGGAACAGAATTAGGGAGGGAGAGTGAAAACCCCACTCAGGCCTGTCTTGCCTTCAGGAACTGTTCAGGCTGGGTGAGGTGACTTTCCCTTCTGTATTTAGGTCCAGCATGTGATGCACTAATGAAAACATAGGTCCCTTGTGGTTGTGGGTATGTCATTTGCTGCCTGAGGCTAAGGCAGGAGTACCTGATCTGCTTTCCCCTGTCTTGTTCCTAGACTCACCCCTCATCTGTTTGCCCCACCAGGTCCCTCCTGCCTCAGCCAAGCAGCACGGTGTGAACCTCAGCACTCCCACGACCCCCTTTCAGCAGGCTAGCGGTTATGGCCAGCACAGCTATGGCCCAGGTGAGGGGGTGCTCCCAGGATGGACAGCCACAGGGTAAAACACACTGATTCACGAAAGCCTCTTGTACCCACCATGCAAGGTTATGATGACCTGACCCAGGGGACAGCAGCAGGAGACTACACCAAAGGTGGCTATGGTGGATCATCGCAGGCACCAAACAAATCTGCAGGTTCTGGGCCTGGCAAAGGTAGCGTGCACTTCTACTTTCCAGGATGAGGCCTGGAGTGGTTGTCTTCTACCTGAGCACCTCTCAGGCAGGGCTCCCAGAATGCCCCTGGAGGTGGGGAGCCTGGAGCTGGGACTGACTGCTGTGGGGACCAACTGCTTTTCCTTCTAGGAGTATCAGTGTCTTCAAGCACTACTGGCCTACCTGACATGACTGGTTCTGTCTACAAGACTCAGGTGAGGGAGAATTTGGTGGGCATGTAGATTACCAGGAGGTACAGACCAACCAGACCCTCACCATTGTCTTCTTTACCCTGCAGACATTTGACAAGCAGGGATTTCATGCAGGGACCCCTCCGCCTTTCAGCCTGCCCTCGGCCTTGGGCTCCACTGGGCCCCTGGCCCCTGGTGCAGGCCCTGGCTATGCACCTCCACCCTTCCTGCACATCTTGCCAGCCCACCAGCAGCCCCACTCACAGCTGCTGCACCACCACCTTCCGCAGGAAGCCCAGGTGAGCGCCGTGATGGAGGCAGCCACCCTGCCCTGGGCCAGGGGCTCTGCTCCAGCCTCGACAGCCTTCTCTCCTCCTCCTCCTCCTCCTCCTCCTCCTCCTCCTCCTCCTCCTCCGAGTGGCTCTGGTCAGCGCAGCCAGCCCAGCTCCCTGCAGCCCAAGTCTCAAGCCTCCAAACCCACCTATGGCAACTCTCCCTACTGGACAAACTAAATTCTGAAGAGAGGGGAGGGCTGGGGCAGGGCTTACCCTGGGCAAGAGAGAACACACGGAGCACATTTCTGGGAGCCCAGTGCCCTTGCCTAGAATTTTGAGATGCACAGCTGTGTCGGCAGAGCCTCTATGGGGACCCTGCCTCCCAGATTGACTAGTGTACGTAATGTATTTATGTATGTATTTGTAAATGTGATGGAAGTCTGGGGAGTGAGGGTGCAGCTGCAGGGCTGCTCTCCCCATTCAAGCCCCTTCTTGCTGTAGCAAAAGCAGCCCAGCCCCCCACCGCCTTTCTGCCCTCCAGCCTTTTACATGGTCCTCTCTGCCCAGTGGGCGGCTAGGGACAGTCTCTGAAAGGCTGGTTCATGGCAACTTGGGTGCTGAGGTCAGGTACCAATGAAGAATCGCGACTTATCTCACTCCTTTGTAAACCATTGGGTTTTCTTTCCCGTGTAATTACTTTATACCTGTTTTTGAGAAACTGGTCCTTCTGTCATTTGTCATGGTTCCCTTCTGCCAAATACTTGTCTGGGAATAGCAGAGACATCCCTTCACCCAACATAAATATGGGAACCTGTTTGTCTTCATATAAGAGTAGGGGCTCCTGCTTCTGGTCTGGTCATGTCCCTAGAGACTTGCCTTCCTGTGGCTGACCATTTAAACCATAATCTGAACTGGCACTCAGATGTTCCACCAGTCAGTGCTGCTTAAGAAAACCCAAGATATGCACATCTCCAGGCAAAGGCTCCTCTATTCCTGACCCGGGCAACTATTCAGGTTTTCTCTTGCCCAAACTCTACCTAATAAAGTTCTGAGAGCATGCTTGGTCTCTGTGTGGTATGACTGAGGGAGAGCGGCAGGGGCACTCCGGGCTTCACAGGGGTGAAACAGACCACACATGGTTGTAGTCTTCTGACAATAGGCTATAAACGCTTGGTATTCCTTTTTGGTGGACTATTGTCTTGGCCCAAATGATAATAGCTGAAAAGACAGCTAAGCCTCCAAAGTTAACCTGGCTTTTCTTGCATCCCTCACCAGACTTCGGGATAGGGATAACAGAGCAGGGTAATTTCTTTTCTAAACCTCAACTGACTTTAGAATCTGGAGCAAAGCGAAGAACAGAAAGCAGGGTTCTAGACCTGAGAGACAATAAGTATGAACAGGTATACCTTCCTCTCTTTTGGTCTTCATCGACCGACCAGACGCAATCTTGACTGGCAGTCAAGGGCTGTGGTACGACAGATAGATGACTGGTGAGTTAGGGTTTTAGGAGGCAGACAGGTGGGTCCCAGATTAATAGTCTGCTCCAGCAAAGCCCAGCCGTTCACTTTGAGACAGGCCATTAGCAAGGCAGGAGCCAATGACCTTAGGCAGGAGGCAGATCTTTCCACTCGGCTGTCCACAACTCAGCTCTAGCCTGGCAGACAGCTCAGGGCCTACGAGTGTTGCCCAAAGTGCCTTTCATTTCAGTCCTAAGTCATTACTTCAGACCAGGCTAAATAAGTAAACAAAATATGAACGCAGCTTGGAGTCAAGTATTGGGGGCAAGTCATTGTGTCAGAACCAGCATAGGGTCACAGTTCTTACCTTTTCTGCTTTTGGCCGGTACAATCAGGAACAGTGGTCATTTTATCAGATGAGATGCATATTCCTTTTTAACCCACAGCTTGGGATCGTCATTAGAAAAAAGGCCCGTGTCCACAACTAAACTAAATGGGAACTCTTATCAAACAATGTGATCCCTTGCCTGATCTCTGCTGTTGGCGGGAAGTTAGAAACACAAATGACAATGTAAAAAGTTTGCCTAAGGATCGCAGCAGAGCACCATCTCTTCCCTGGCCTACTCGGTTTTCAGAATCAAGTTTACAAATGGCTATGCCTTTAAGAACCTTCCTCTAAGAAGCTTGTAAGGATGAGGATGGTTGTTTTCCAGGGAGGTGACTGGGAAAGGCAGGTCAGCCAGTTTGGGGTTTTTGTTTAGTTTTTCAGCTGAGCCCTGGCATAATCTGCAAGGTAGCAGTGAGACTATTGAGAACACCTTTTAGTTTTCGTTAACACAAGGAAAAAAAGAAGAGGGTCATCCCATGGGGAAGTAGCAATACAGGTATATTTTATTTCACATTTTATTAGTAGACAGATGGGCAGAAATAGACAAAATAAACCACTAAAGGGGAAGTCAACACAAAATGCATCAGATAATCTTTTCTCATAAGTTAAACTGAAGAAAAACATCTACAATTTCAGCTAAAACTATTAAAGTCAGGTATGTCCTGCTGGTTTCAGAATAGTTGAAAATTGCATCTCTGAATCTTTTTTAGTTGTAAATGTAAACCTTGTTTATCAGGATGGGAGAGGTGGAGAATTAACGTTCAGTGAGAACTACACATTTTTCCCTTCCAATCTCTTACTGTATATACCCCAAACATAAGGAAACCAGCAAATAAAGAAGCAAATAATTGCCAGGGCAGAGGAAAGAAGGAACTACAGAAATTGCGGCTAATAGAAAAGAACTCTGGAATGATGAGAAAGAAGAGGGAAAGACAGAGAGAAGCAACAACGGAATCATGATATTATACTTTCTCCACGCAGCCTAAAACACAGAACTGTGCATGAGGCCTTCGTGAGAATGAAAAGGAGTCTGAAAACGCAGGATTCTGAGTTCATGTCACACCAAGAATCACCACAACAAAGTTCTGGCTTGAGCCCGAGACCTCCACTCCCAAACAGAAGAAACTTATATTCTCAAGTATTTTTCCACAGGATGTGTTCTCAGGGACAGAGCTCTGGAACCAGCCTCTGGGTTTTAAAAGTCAGTCTAAACTATTAGAGTGACCTGCTAGCAAGTCAACATACCCTAGTCTTCTGGAACTGATTGTACTCATCAGAGGCAAACCCAGTCCTCAACAGCTACGCCCCAAAGGGCTGAAAGGTACGACCTCCACTTGGTGCTCTGGCTCCCTGAGTCAACGTGCAACAGGCCAACAGGACCCAATGGGACAGCTGAGCAGCACAGCACCTCCCACAATGTCAAGGTGCCTGGCCTGCGCTGGGAGTGAGATGCTTTAGCAGTAAGGGGAATTTGAAAGGCTTAATTTTAGGGCTCCAAGAGAGTAAGACCAAGCTACTGGCTGTAAACGTGGGGGGTAGGGGGGACGAAGTGGGAGGCTGTAGATCCGAGGACATTGTGAGCAGCTTTGGCTCCAGAAGCTTTGCAGGTTATCTGGAAGCTTTACTTATGAAGTGTGGGGAATAAAAAGGTAATTCCAGTACCCTTTTCTGAGTTTGTCAGTCTGAAGAGTGTTGTTACAGAGCTGCTCTGTTCCATGAGTCTGACTGGAATTGCTAGATTCAGGATGCAAGTAGCAGCCCTAGCCACACGGAGATTGCAGATTCTGGCACCAGGGCTCAACAGTGTCCCATAAGAACCATAGAATGTTGAACATTCCCAGTTCATACCAGACCAAGCTTTAGAGACCAGAAAGGGCTGCTGGGAATAGATAGCACATGTTTGGGAGAGTTTGAAGAGCGAATGAAAACCCTGAGATCAGAAAGGAAGGAGGAGCTAAGGAAATAAGCATCACCTACTCTGACCATCCTAGGATCCATCCTACCCATCCTTAATCTGCCCTTTGGTTCCTTCTGAGCTGTGATCTAAAGAAAAAGGAGTTGACACTAGAGCACAAGAATCTTAAGTAGGACTATAGGCAGTCCTTGCTGTATTTTCCTTCTGAAATTTGATTTTACGAGTTTCTCCCACTCTAAGAAGTCATGCCCTCCTTGAACTGGCTGACCTCTTAACGACCAAAAGTTACCTTCAGGTTATGAAGCCCCTGGATAGTGAAGGCTGCTGGGTCTCGATATTGATTGAAGCATCACATGATTGAGACCGGGGAAATCAAAGCTGTAGCAATTGCTTGGTAGGAGTATCTCCTCACCTTCCCTGGTCTGGAAACCCACAGTCAACTCCCTCAGCCCTGCCAGAAGAGACACACCTATAGGGAGCTCTGCACAATCTTGGCTTGCGTGCCACAGCCAAAGAACACTAAAAGGAGAACAAATCCAGATCACACCCACTAAAGAGAGCGGGAGCCGGTCACCCATGTCATGTCGCACACTCATCCACGTTTTTTGCTATCAGTAAAAGCAGCTCGATGAAAACCAAAATCTTAACACATGCACCTAGGATTAATACTGAGTAATTAAATTAAAAGTGGCTACTAAAAAACAAAAACAACCTCATAGTGAGAGTGTATCTTTGAGGGGGAGGCCATGAATATATGAAAGATGTTTCCCTCCCAACAGTGGTCACCAGTAGTTTTGACCTTTCCCCCCCAGCAGCATCAACCAACTTGGCATAGTGATTTTAAACTCTGTTCCCATCACTAAGAATCCACACACACTAGTCCCAGCTTCCCCACTTGCCCCATTCCCTGGGGGGGGGAAACAACAACCCTGCCTTTAAAATAAATAGCAACCGAGTGCTCAGTTCTATGTAAAGTATGAATATTTATTTCAGGCTTTCGATCCCAATCGATTTCAAAAAACAAAATCTGATTTCTCTCCTCAGAGTAGCTGAGGCCTCCACATTAGGATGATTTCACGGAGGCTGAAAGAGCACATTTCATCAGGCTTAGCACAAAGTCCCTGACGCCCACCATATCCCAGCCTTAGGAAGGGAAAGAAACAAAATTCACCATCATGGGGCAGAACAGATGCGCACACACTAATGTAAATGAGCAGCTAAACCTTGGCAAATTTGCTTTTTTTTTTTTAAGTTTGTTTTGTGGGATTTTTTCCATTTTCTTTTGCTACCCAGTATATGCAGCACTTGTGAACTCCCAACAGGTTCCCAGCTTTAAACACAAACATCTTGAAAGACTACTCTTCAAGAATCTAAAAACAGATCAAACGTGTTTTGCTGTGAACATTCTGTAGAGACGAAGTGAGGCGGCGGGAGTTTGGGTTGATTTGTTGTTTTTTTTTTTTAAAAAAGAATCAAAACAGTGATGGAAGGGTAAAGAATGCAAGAATTCAGACATTCTGTGGAGGGTTACTCTCTCTCCATTAAAGGTCCATAAAAAGGAGCAAACTGAGATCCATGAGGGGAGTCAGCAGGAGCTGTGTGTGTTTCCCCACCTGCTGTGAATAGGTTTTTGCTGAGGGGCCAATGCTAGGTCCCCACTTGCTCCCCTCCCTTCGGCCTCCGACGGCAGGGCAGTACAGGGGCACTGAAGGAGCACGTCACGACTCCTCGTTCCCAGAATCGTCATCATCGTAACAGTCGGCATCTTCCTCCTCTTCATCTTCATCATCAATGTCGTCGTCATACAAGTCGTCATAAAGCAAATCTGAGCTGTTGTCATTGGAAGGCACTTTAGTTTTGATGCAGTATTCCGCCAGGGTCGTGGGGACCTTCACTCCATCCTTTTCTGCTTCGGCCTTAGTGGCTGAAACCTGTTTCCTGAAGGGAGGGTGACACAAAAATCGTTTATGGTAAGTCTCTGTTTTGAGGATGAATTTATAATTGGCCTTAAATAATTAGGATTTCTTATGATTTCTACTTTCCAAACTTCAGGACTACCTAAAAGCATCTGACAGGTACTCCGTACTACAAGCAAATGCTTTCACCCCAGTCGGTATCATTCTGAAGGAAACTAATAATGATCTTTTAGAGGAGATACACTATTACACAAAGGGAGTGGAAAGCAGTGGACTACGAGCCAGAAATCACCTCAGAAATTTTTTTTCAGTCTTTGCACCACCATACTCATGCACCCCAGCATCTCTCATAGTAAAATCTTACCATAAAATCTCATTTATGGTAAAATCCAAATACCTTACACCAGATTCCAAAGTCTGGTATGATCCATTCTTGCAGGTTCTTACAGCCCAGTACTTTCTACAGTTTCAACACATTCAGGCCATCCTCTTTTTTAGTACCTTGAACACACCTAGTTGATGTTTTTCTGTCTGGACCAGTTGATCTTCCTCTGATCCACACATGCCTGGCTCCTCCTCTGTCACTCAAATATTGGCCTAAATATCACCTCAGAGGATGCCTGGCCTGACAACCAATTTAAAGTAGCCATCTAGACATTTTCACATTATCTTTTTATGGCCTTTCATTCATTCATTCTTCTGTGTCCTCTCAGTAGGATGTGAGCTTCATTAGAGCAGAAACCTTGTCTGTCTTCCTCACTTGTTTCCCCTGTGCTTAGAACACAGCCTGACACACAACAAGCGTGCAATAAGTATTGACTGTATCAATGAATGGAAGAGTAGTTTCCTTAATAATCACAACAATTTGAGTCATCAAGATTGGAGAAAACTGAACTTAAAGCACATCAGAATTTCTGATCTACCTTGTTGCAATTCTGCCTCTCCTGGGTGCTGTTGAGGCTTGACTCACAGTGCCGTGTCTTACACCCTGAGGCTTCTGAGCTTCAATCTCTTCACACTCTTAGCACTCCCCCTGGGACATCAAACTTGATCCCATGGTTTGAACTTCCATTTCCTTTATGCTGTTAGCTCAAATCGTCAGCCTGTACCTCACCTTTCTGCTGACCCTTAGACACTTACATAAAAACAAATGCCTTCTGGATGCCTCCTCCGTCTTGATGTTCCATAGGAACTCAACTCAGCAACACTACATTTGTCATTTTCTACCTCCACAGCCAGTTTTTCCCATTGTTCTTCTCAGCAGAGAATATCACTTCCTAAGTTATAAATCTCACTCCAAAGTGGCATTGTCACAACCCAGATATTTTTATATGTCTTCTCATCCTCATGGCCATCGCTTCAGTTTAGTCCATGTTGGTCCCCTGGACAATTGTGTTTTTTCAGTATTCAAATAGGCTCAACCTTTCCCTCCCTAAAGTCCTAAAATCCTTAAGTGATGCTGTATCACTTCTTGGATTGATTATCAGTGTCTCTTAAGACTTGATACTTCTCTTGCTTAATTTCCCAAAACTGTACTTCCAAAATCAGAATTTACATTCAAGCATTGTAAAACTCGTCTTGCAATTCCCTGTCATGCTGTTATACGCCTGTGTTTTAGCAAACATGCTTCTCTCTCAAAAGGTGTTTTTGTTTTTGTTTTTGTTTTGAGTAGGAGTCTCACTCTGTCGCTCAGGCTGGAGTATAGTGGCACACACACGGCCACCACAGCCTTGACTTGCTGGGCTCAGGTGATTCTTCTGCCTCAGCCTTCCAAGTAGCTGGAACCACAGGTGCGTGTCACCAGGTCCAGCTAATTTTTAAAAATTTATTGTAGAGATAAGGTCTCGCCAAGTTGCCCAGGCTGGTCTCAAACCCCTGAACTCGGGCACTCCTCTCACCTCTACCTCCCAAAGTGTTGAAATTACAGGCATGAGCCACCACGCTTGGCTCAGTAGGTTTCTTCCTTTTTTCAACCTGAACAATTCTTGGCTATGAGGAATTGTTACTCCTAGGAAATCCATTGCATTATATATTTCTTCCATGTATCTTGTTTAGGCTTCTGTGGTTGCAAGTATCATATTTTGTGGTCATTTATTCAGAAATGCTCGCCAAGTAATGTGTAAGCTACCTAAGGAGAGATACTGTCCTTAGTGACCTAGCAAAGTATCTGACACAAAGCTGATACATAATAATTTGGGGGGGGGTTGGAGTCTCACGCCCAGGCTGAAATGCAGTGGCGTGCTCACGGCCACCACAGCCTTGACCTGCTGTCAGGCAATCCTTCTACCTCAGTCTTCCAAGGAGTTGGAAACACAGGCACGCACCATCATGCTGGCTAATTTTTTGACTTATTGTGGAGATGAGGTCTCAACAAGTTACCCAGGCTGGGCTCAGACAATCCTCTCACCCCTACCTCCCAAATTGCTGGAATTACAGGCGTGAGGCATAATAAACATTGAAAATATGAAAGAATGAGATAAAGAGATCCCTAAACAAATTAGGAAATATAAAGACTAGAAGTACCTTGGGAATATGCATGTATTCTTCACTTACTAAATCCTACCTGTCCTTGAACATCAGGCTTTAATCCTGACTGTTTTGAGCAGCACTCCCATCCCTCAATCCTCAGTCCACTCCCGCTTCTTTACACTTCTATAGGTCTTTACTATATATACTAATTATCTTCAATTTTTGGTATGCATCAGTCTCCTGGGGGGACTGGTAAAAAAAAAAACAAAAAAAAACGTAATACAGATGCCCAGACTCTACCCTATAATCTCATTAAATAGCTATAGTTTAGGAAGGGTCTACAGGTGATCCCAATGGGCAGAAAACTGTAAGAAATGCTTGACTTATATGACTCAGCAGCCACATGATGTGTTTTCCCGGCATTGTTTTAATGTTTCATATCACATGGTATCATGCCAACGAGGTTTATACAGAGGGACTTTTATTTATATAAATTCCAGTGCTTACTAAAATCCTAAGCACAGAATGAACTGTACTTGGGAGCTCTATTTTAAAGATAAAAAATATAATATTAACAGGGGGGTTGAATTTATTGTAAAATTCTTGGGTAATATTATAAGAACCTGATGTCCTACTTGGGTTATGTTTGAGAGCTTTATTCCTTTTTACACAGATGGAGAAACTGAAGACCCAAAAAGTGAGCTGATAAATGGTTACATGAGGAGTGGCAGAGCTAGCAGAAGGTTCCGAGTCCCTGATTCTTAGTCTATGCCATATATTAGTGCTGCCGATAATGAGGCTGTCTAGAAGACTGCTGCTATGGTCAAACATCCCAATAAACTGCGGGGCTTCCTTAATTAAAATTTGGAAACAAAATTACTCTTCTGTACCTAGAATGTCTAGAATACCTTGGGTAATTGTGGTTGCTACATTTAAGAGACATGTTGAATGTATAGAAGAGGGTCCTAAAATGATGAACAGAGAGAGTTTGCAAACTTGACTAGTTAAGAACCTGGAAGTTCTGGTTCCTAGAAAATCAGATCTGCTGCAGCATTTCTTCTAGTGAGTGTTCTCTCAATAATGGCTAAGTTCATTAGGTTAGGGCAAAAAGCTCCTTCCACACTGTAAATTTAATTAAGGGCATTGTTCTGGAGTGGACAGGATATTTAAGTTTGATTTAAACCCTTAGTTTCAGAATACACTCTGACTTTACATAAAGACTTGAAGTAATCAAACTGATGACAACACACGGCACCTTACCTAATGATTTCAGCATATTCTTTGTCTTTTCCTTTACTGTCTCTCCATTTCCTGAACATAACTGAAGCATCCACATTGGCTGGGGAGAAGGTGTTGGGCTCATTAAGCAGTGAGATTACACTTAACAGGATAGTCCTAGAAACAGGAAAAAAAAAGGGGTCAGCTATAACTACCTATATTTATAGTAATCAAAAGTATTCTGCTTTTTAAGAAAATTCAGTCAGATTTTAATTTGTCTCTCCCTTAATGTTCTTTTGATACAATTTAATTTGAGATCTTAATGGAACAGAGATTGATGATAATAAAATTTTGTCTTCAATACTCAACTGGCTAGGCTAGAAAAAGGCTGCTAACTGGTAGACAAAGCAGAGGAAATCTGAGAGGCAGTGGTACAAGGCACAAAGAGGAACTCTTACAGAAGGCACTGGCTCAACTGGTTACATGTTCCAATCTACAAAAAGTAGATGTCTGGAAGCTTTCAAGTAAAGTATATTTTAAAAATTATGCATTAAGTGGAACAGGCAAAATAAAAAGCATATATGTATATATATTTGTTTGTTTTGAGACAGAGTCTTATTCTGTTGCCCAGGCTGAAGTGTAATTACAAAATCCTGGCTCACTGCAGCCTCAACGTCCCAGGCTCAGGCAATCCAACCAGATGGGACTACAGGCATGCACCACCACTCCCAGCTAATTTTTGGATTTTGTATAGAGATGATGTCTCCCTATGTTGCTTAGGCTGGTACTGAACTCCTGGACTCAAGTGATCCTCCTGCTTCAGCCTCCCAAAGTGCTGGAATTACAGATGTGAGCCAGTACACCCAGTTGCATGTAAAGTATTTAGCTTCAAGGCAACCTTCTCGGGAAAGCGTAAAAATAATGTTATTCTGTACATCCAGTTTTCGTTGTGGCCTCTCAGAAGATCTGAAAAAAGTGCTACATATAAATGCATTTCTTCTCCATATTTATAAGGGAAGGAGAAGCAGAATGGAGGAAAAGCAAAAGCCTTAACATGGAAGAACTAGTCTCTGAATAATATGTCATTATTCAAAAATGTTTACTAGCTACCTACTGTGTGCCAGAGGCACCAAGTGAGATGCTGAATGGACACTAGTGAGCAAGTTAGATGTCATCTCTCATTTCCCAGGGCTTATAAATCTAGTGAGAGATACAAACAGATGAAAGTTAGACATTACAAATAATCACAAGGAATAAAGTTTCTGTTAGAAAGCATGATAGGGTCCAAAAATGTTCCAAAGTATTCTTAGGGTTTTTTGCCTAAAAGCTACGTGCATGTGCCTTAGGACAAAAATGAGAGGAAATACTAAATTTCTCTACTCTTTCTCATTGATGCAGGGATATAGATTGTGGTTGTTGCAAAATAGCCTTTTGCTCCTGGCCCCAAGCAAAAAAATAAAAGAGGGAGAACTAGGCCATTAGATATGTGATTTAATTTTTTTTTTTTAGTTGGAGTCTCACTCTGTCGCCCAGACCAGAGTGCAGCGGCCGCTCCCAGCCACCGCAGCCTCGACCTGCTGGGCTCCGGCGATCCTTCCGCCTCAGCCTTCCAAGTAGCTGGAACTACAGGTGTGCGCTACCACGCCCAGCTAATTTTTTGATTTATAGTAGAGATGAGGTGTCTCGCCAAGTTGCCCAGGCAGGTCTCGAACCCGCAGGCTCAGGCAATTCACTCACCTCAGCCTCCCAAGGCGCGGGATTACAGGCTGAGCCACCGAGCCTGGCTTAATTTTTTTTTTTTTAACTCTTCCGTAAAAAGGGTGAAGATTTTTTGTTAGTTGATTATAAAAGATTATGACAGGCACTTTCAAATAAAACTTTCCTATGTAGTTAAAATCCATTTATCACACATGCTAACTTTCTATTACATTAAGAATAACTCCCTGTCCTAACCCAAGAGCTTTTTGTATTTTTTCAGTAATTACATTTTTTAAAGTCAAAGAACCTCATTATTGCCAGCAATGGAGAATGGACTGACAACATCCTAGGAGTGAAAGGATAACGTGTGTAGAAAACTACATAAGAGTTTTTCCAGAAGACGGCAAAAAAATTTGTTAGAAAGATAAGCAGGATAAGGGCAAAATATGGTGTAAGAGAAAAAAATAACATTAATCGTCTAGATCAGCACTGTCCAATAATTTGACAATGTTGATGATAACAACAGAAATGTGTAATCTATATTGTCCAGTACAATTTCCAGTAGTCATATATGGCTACTGTGTACTTTAAAATGTAGCTTGTGCAACTGAAGAACTTATTTTAATATATAATTTTTAAAATTTATTTATTTATGTATTTATTTCCGTTGGAGTGCAGTAGCACACTCATGGCCACCCAGCCTCAACCCACGGGGCTCAGGCAATCCTTCCACCTCAGTTTTCCAAGCTGGACTACAGGTGTGCACCACCATACCCAGATAATTTTTTGATTTATTGTAGAATGAGGTCTCACCAAGTTGCCTAGCCTGGTCTCTAACCCCTGGGCTCAGACAATTCACTTGCCTCCGCCTCCCAAAGTTCTGGGATTACAGGCGTGAGCCACCGCACCTGGCAAATTTTCTTTACTTAAAGAAATGTCTCACTGTGTTGCCCAAACTGAAGTAAAGTGGCTATTCACAGGCAGGACCATAGCACACTATAGCCTCAAACTTCTGGATTCAAGTGGTTTTCCTGCCTCAGCTTCCTGAGTAGCTAGGACTACGGGCATGCAAAGCTAATATTTAATTTTAATTTAAGTTTAAATAGCCAATGTAGTAGTGGCTATCATATTGGACAACACAAGTCTAGATGGATCTATTACCTGAATTAAGAAAAATTCTTCCACAAGTAGTTTCACTAAGTAGAATTTCTTACATCTTGTGTTTGTTATTAAAATAGTATACTGGGTAATATATTTTTTTTAAATGGTGAATCATCTGTTTCTATCAAAATGAGAAGTACCTCCTAACACCACACATTCCTTACTTTAAATCCAATATACTTTCAGAAGCATCTTAATATAGTGGACTAATAAGGCGGTCACTGTTAACCTTGTATGCTTTTATTTCCTTCCTTCATCTGGAAAGCAGAATCTTTTGGGGGTGTATGGGGAATTCATACCATTCAGTGGGTCAGATGGGGGCTAATCTTCTCCAACCATTGTGCCACACCCCTCTACAAATAACCTAGGTTAATCTTCTCCAACCATTGGGCCACACCCCTCTACAAAATAACCTATCTACCCACAGCAGTGGACATGAGACCAATGCCGGCCAAAGAGTTCCATCCATGTTGTTAGGGTAATGCATTTGGGAATATGTGTAGTATGACCTAACCTGGGCCAATCCAAAGCCTGGTGGAAACTATAATGGTTCTAAACTAACAGCAAAAAGGAAATTTATGTTTATCTTTGACTGGATGCATAACTGTGAGAATAAGGAAAGCCTAGGTCACTGGTCTCCTCAAAGAGGTGGGTGGGCAGACATTGGAACAGCCTGAGCCCCTGAACAATACCTTCTAGTTAAAGGAGTAGCTTCAGATTACCCCATCGTGATCTACAGATATAGTCATGCACTGCCTAACAATGTGTTGGTAAATGGAATGGGACAGTGGTTGCACAAGATTATAACACTGTCTTTTTACTGTATCTTTTATATGTTTAGATATACAAATACTTGTCATTGTGTTACAACTGCCTATGGTATTCAGTACAGTAACATGTTACACAGGTTTGTAGCCTAGGAGCAACAGGCTGCACCATGTAGACTGATGTAAGTATACTTTATGTTTGCATGATGAAATCACCTAATGGTACATTTCTCAGAAGGTATCCCTGCCATTAAGTGGTACATGACTGTACCATCCCTTTCATTTTCTATAGGTACCAAGACTGGAAAAGGCCAGGAAGCAATGTCATAGTTTAAATTGTCTACCACTTGTACCAAAATCATCTATTAATGACATTACACCTGTAACATGGTAAACAACTCTGTAAGGTTATTTTTAATCCTATTTTTATACAATGGAAAAACTGAGAAAAAATTATGGACTTCACAGCAACTTGGATGGAGTTGGAGACCATCATGCCAAGTGAGCTATCACAGAAACTAAGACCTGAATACTGCATGTTCTCACTCATAAGTGGGCCCTGAACACTAGTCACATCAGCACAGGGGAAGTATCAGCAGTCACAGGGCACTGCTGGGGGAAAGAGGGAAAAAGAAAGGTGAGGGGCATGTGACAACAAAAAGGGTGCCTGGTCCCCTACCAGGAGGAGCAAGGGCCAGCTAGAAGCCAAACTTCACCTGCATGCAGCCTACTTATGTAGTTAATCCTCACTTGGACCTCACAACTCTATAATTAAAAATAGATGGATAGATAGATAGATAATAAAGTGCCAAGATAATACTGCCAGAATATACAAAACAGCTACCTTTTTTTTTTGAGTTGGAGTCTCACTCTGTCGCCCAGACTGGAGTGCAGTGGCCGCTCCCAGCCACCGCAGCCTCGACCCGCTGGGCTCCGGCAATCCTTCCGCCTCAGCCTTCCAAGTAGCTGGAATTACAGGCGCGTGCTACCAAGCCCGGCTAATTTTTGATTTATTGTAGAGATGAGGCCTCACAAAGTTACCCAGGAGGGTCTCGGACCCGCGGGCTCAGGCAATCCACTCACCTCAGCCTCCCAAGGCATGGGATTACAGGCTGAGCCACTGAGCCCAGCTTCTCTTTTTTTTTGTTATTCTTTTCTTGTTTTTGTTATTAGTTTCATTAAGTGTTTCAAACACGTACTCATTTATTGTATTTTCTCAGGAGAAGAAAAAGGCAATTGAAAGGTTTGTTTTCTTTTTTGGTAGAGAAAAGGTCTCACTTTTTTATCCATGCTGGTCTGAAACTCCCAGGCTCAAGCAATCCTCTGACCTCGGTCCCTCAAAGTGCTAGGATTAGAGGTGTGAGCCAGTTCTCAGTTCCTTTAGAAAATAACTCTGCCGGTCTTGGTGGCTCAACCTGTAATCCTGGCACTTTGGGCAGCTGAGGCAAGTGAATTGCCTGAGCCTGTGGGTTCGAGACCAGTCTGGGCAACTTCGCGAGACCTCGACTCTACAATAAATAAAAAAAAATTAAGCAGGCATGGTAGTGTGTG